ACTTCTCTCTCAACCGTGTCACTGGGACTAAACCCAGTGGAGATTGAGCAAGAGTTCTTTAGCCACATACACTCATATCGTGAGTGGAGAATCTGGCCATTGCCAGAACTCCATTATTTACAATCTAGTAACTTAAAAGGTCGCGGGGCCACTGCCGTTTCAACCTCCTTGGAGGATTATATGGATGAGTGGTGCTGGATAGAGATTGTGCAAAGGGATTTGGTGATGGGTAAGGTTCTGGTGGTATTTGGAGAATTTTGCTGGGGTAAGGTCTAGGACAAATGGGATATTAAGGTCATGGTGTTGGTTACATTGAAAGGAGCATTGACTATTGTTCGAAGGACTTTGGATTGGAAGGATTGGATGCGTTTGATGTTAGAAAATTTTGCTGTTCCCCACAGTTCAAGTCCTCAAGTCCAAGTAGGTTTCAGTATTGTCTTGTAGATAAGTATTTTATTTTCAATAGAGAGTTTAGATTTTCTATTTAGTAGTATGTATAGTTGGCCGTATCTAAGTTCCTGTCTTTTAAGTCTAGTATGAGGGTTCCACGTTAGTTGTCTGTCTAAGAGAAAGCCAAGGTACCGGACTGTGTCTGAGAAAGGAAGGATTAACTGCTTTAGGTGGTAAGGAGAGAGGGATGGGTGAATTAAGGAATTCCTCTTCTGCTGACGTGTGGGTGGGATTGGATTCCGGATAAGAGGTGAATGTAAGAGAAAGGTGTTTGGCGAATTACTCGGCTCTATCTTCATCAGACGCTGCCCAATAGCCATCACCTCGACGGAGAGGATGTGATATATGATAGGGTTTTAGGATTTGTTTAGAGATCTTCTATAGGGAATTCTCATGAGAAGAGAGGGAAGTAAGGTAGGAGTTGAAGGATTGGGATCTGAAGGTGGCCAATTCTAGCTTTAATTTTTTGCAAAAATAATTATAGAACTGACGATTGGTGGGGTGTCTAGTATGTTGCCATAATAATCTGGCACGGCGTTTGGTATGGATTAGGTCTATGAGGTGTTGAGGTAACTTAGTTTTCTTGGGAGTTCTTGAGGAGTGGTTTGGAAAGGAAGCAGTCCAGATTGCTTGTTGGACAGTGGTGGTAAAAAAGTGTACGGCATTGTCAAGGTCATCTGGGGTTTTCAGGATTATTCTGAGGTCAATTTTATTGGAAAGGATTTGGTGAAAGAGTTTCCAGTTAACTGGGCCTCTGATGAAGGACGGTGGAGAAGACTTAGCAATAGGAGCTAGAGATAATTGGAGTAATAATGGAATATGATCTGAGGATAGTTCGGTAAGACGGGTAAGGGAATGATTGAGGGGACCTAAGCCCCTGTGGATGAAAAAATCAAGGATATCGGGATTGCGGTTAGGATCTGTGGGCCAGTAGGTAGGTGAGTTAGGAGGAAGGATACTGAAACATTGGGAATTGAGTGCAGATAACAATGTTCTGCCAAGAGAGTTCGTGGTTCTAGAATCCCATTGATGATGTTTGGCGTTTAAATCTCCACCCAGGATGAAGTGATGTCCTAAGGAGTTGAGAAGAGAACTGAACTGGATATTGGATATGGATCTGTTAGGAGGGCAATATGCTGATGCTATGGTGACGGGAAAGGAGAAGGTTTTGATTACGATAGCAGTGGATTGTAGGAAATCTTGGTGAGATATGAGATTTGTGAGGAGTGATATGAGTGGAGTAACTAAGGATTTAAAATCGGTAAGGAAAGATACCAACAAACTGGTGAGATCTGTTGTATTTGAAGGAGGAAGTAGCTGTGAAAATGATACACTATTGTTTACTATTCTAGAAGGCTCTCTCTCTCTCTCTTCTTGGTCTTCCTGCTTCATCTTGAATCTGGTTTTTCTGGTGTCTGGATTTGAGATTCTTGTAAATTTGGCATCCTTTGTAGTTGGCCGGGTGTCCCTCCAGGCATAGTACACACACTGCAGGATCTTGTATCAGTTTTGTGCACTCCGCTGATTTGTGCTGTTCACCGCATTTCACGCAACGCAGCGAATGGTGACAATAAGTCTTCGTGTGGCCATAAGCCTGACAATTATGGCTCAGCACGATTTCTCTCTTGGGGTATGGTTTCTTTACTTTCACCATTGTATACCTCATAACGATCTCTCCTACCTAAGATGGTACGTATGAAAATTCGCATTCGTTTCTGAGAGGTACTTCACCATTATTCGGTAGGTTTCAGCAGTATCTGGTGTTATTTTTGTATCGTTGGTCATGTGTAATATAATCTTGTGATATCGTATATTTTCTCACTACCGGGTGATGGCTCTAAATCCACGAAAAAATAAAGGTAGTGGAACTCCAGGCTGCTCCTTATTCTTCTTCAGAACGTTGGTTACCTAATGTACTTTGAAACCAAGCGCCGCTAGTTCTTCTTTTATCACTTCAGTTGGGGTTGAGGAGTGTAAATTTCTTATTACTACTCATAACGATCTCTCCTGCCTAAGATGGTACGTATGAAAATTCGCATTCGTTTCTGAGAGGTACTTCACCATTATTCGGTAGGTTTCAGCAGTATCTGGTGTTATTTTTGTATCGTTGGTCATGTTAAGACATGAATAACTGCCAGAGCAGATTTTATTTAGTTGGGTGCAGAACAACTAGAAATTTTTGATATTTTTCACAAATATCGGAGGAAGCCTTGGTTCTGTGGGTATAGCTGCAGACTCCATTACCTTTCGGTTATTTTGAAGCACTTGGTAGGGGTTTAGAGTAAAGAAAGGGGATTCTTCGATCATTTCTTGAGAAGAAGTTCCTGGTTGTGGCTGAGGTTTTGGTTCTGTTGTGTTCACTTTTGTTGTTGGAGATGTTTCTCGTAGGCAGCGACGAATTCTTTGTTTGGCTGGTGAGCTAACTGTCTGACCGAGTCCTCTTGGGCACCTTACTGGACATCACTTGGTGACTATAAGAGAAGAAAGAAAGAAAAAAAATAATAAAACAAATATATCAAACAGCAATATCAATATCATCTGCTCTGATGTACACGTGAAATGTATTCAATGAAAAAATCAGAGAGATTCAGCTGAAAAATAGGCAAATACTGAGAGACCAGTTGAGAGCACAACCTTCCAATCAGCTGATCCACTGCCTTCGGGAGCTTTTAAAAGTTAGAGAAAAAAAAAATATATAAAGCAAACTTTGATAAATTACTTTATTATTATGCTGTGTGATTTAGCAATTCAACATAGTTAAGCAACCATGCAATATTATTGTAGTTCCCTCTCTATTTCAGCATAGTATAATATTTATTGTTTACTGATCCCCATAATATTCTCCTACCATAATCTCCTGTCAGACCATTCTTTTTCCTACTGTCTTCTCCTTTATATCTCCCATTCACCACATCTTCCTGATGAAGTTATAAAATTAGAAATAAAGACACGGGTGAACATGTATAGAACTCATTCTAACGAGCTAACCTTTATTATTAAATAGCAAAAAACACATATACATATATTGACTCATTTAGTACAAAAAATAGTATCAATAATAAGCAAAGGGAATAAACATTTGTAAATTAATTCATTAATTAGTGATGTACTTCAATACTTCCTTGGCTATCCGTTCTTTTTCCTATATTCTTACACGTATAATTTAATAAATAATTATATGAAATATAGTAACATAAAAATATGTTTTGACGAAAATGAAATATAATAAAGATTACAGCATAAAAACTAAAATAGGAACTGGATTATTTATGCATAAAGATACAGGAATTTAACAAAATTCACATAAATTAAAGAAACAAATAAAATATAACTAAAATATAGAAAATAAATTTGTTGTTCATAATGAAATAGTCCTTCTTGATACGCTTATTATTTTTCTCCTGCAATGTCAATAAAGACATTTTATTACAACTTTTGTAAGATAAAATTTCAATGAAATTGAGTTTGTCTATTGAAATGGATAAACAAATGCTGTTTGTGAAAATAAGAACTGCATGAAAAAAAAAATTAAACTTAAAAAGGAATAGCCACCTGTGAAGCGGGTATGTTTACTTAATTTCAAGGAATGCTCATCTGAGATGCGGATCAGGAAACATTTCCAATGTATAGCCGAATGACACATGAACCAAATGGAAGCACTCTCCTTCTGTAAGGCACTCTTCTAGAAATTTAAAGAAAAATAACAAATTTTCATACTACAGGAGACAAAAGATGAAACTATTCCCGCCATTGAGGTGGTTGTTTTATGTTGAGGATTAAAATTACTTCATAGTTAAGGGCTATTATCAAAATTTATGATGAGTATATTTGAACATTATAGCTTTCAAATAGTAGCTTCCTATCACATCTATACACATTCATTACATTTTATTTATTGTGTAGAAAAAACAAGAAGTTTATCTATTATATTGTGTGATTAGTCACATAATTTTAAAATTTTGTTCGATTTGTTATTTTTTTATTTTTTATAAAAGATTGACTTACATTAATCAAATTATCTTCCATAATTCTCTTTCCTCCACCTTTAAGAAGTCAATCTTTGTTTTAAACAACAGCTGTTTTGTGTTCATCTATGTTAATAAAGATCAATATATATCAAACTGATTAATAAGATGTTTATAATCCAAAAGTTAATGTTTAGATAATTCAATTGAACTGAGATATTTAATATCTATTCTGACTAATAACAAACAAACATTAAGATTTGAGGCTAAAATAATATGCTTGTTAATGTATGGTCTGTATAATTAACATACATCTTTTTCATTTGTATATAATTGTAAATATGTTAGCCTTAATTACTCTCAACCAATTATCATCTTAAAGTAAGACATACAAATAGTTCAAATCCAATTCTACCATAACTCCAGTATAAATTACTAGCTAATTAAAATCAATGAAAAATTTTTACTTATAAGGTTAATAGTTAATTTCTTTGTTGATTACATTTTTCTGTTAATGTATTCATTATAGTAAAATAATTAGTTCACTATTGTACTAATTACTAGTTTTGAAAATGTTTATTGTAGGTGTCTCCAGCTAAATTAGCTCTAAGGAGACATTTGTCCCAAGAAAAATTAGCTGCTCAGCACACAGTTTTTCCACCTACTCCAAATATTGTAGGAACCAGAACTATAGGTGACCTTGTCAATGGAGAAATTGAGAGAACATTGGAAATTTCTAATCAGGTAGCTAATAATAATTTCTGATAGCTAATAATAATTACGATTTTTCATAGAAAGAGAACAGCTTTTTCATTTAGCAATAAGCACATTAGTATATGTCTATTAATTTTTTTTTTTTTTTGTCTCTTTAATGCGGAGAATCACACACATATGCTCACACATTGCTGTATTTAGTTTTGGGTACTAATTGGAGTTCACAAGTCAAGTTTCACTCGTAGAATACTGTATCATTTAAATAATAGGCTATTGGTACTATAATGATGCCATTTTTTGTTGTTGAAGCCAGGTTGGATTAAAATTAGGACCCTCCACACTGTGGGAGAAAGGGAATGGCTGGACCATGGTACTATAAAATAGTAAAATTTTAGGACTAAATGTTATAGGTTGTTACAAATTTAAATATTAATATATAAATATTTACATACTGCAAATCGAAAAAAACATTTTAAGTTACCACTAATTATCTTATTATGACAATATATATATATATAATTTACAATCTCTACAACAGATAGCAGCATTAGTGCAAAGTCCTGAGGCAGGTTATCACATTCCCACCATTTTTTTTGCCTTGAACTTTAATAATCCCTTAAGGTCCAAGTTGCCAAAAAATGATTTGTTAAATAAATATTTAAATGTGGTAGTTATTATTGTTCAGTTCTTTTTTGACTGTTTTGCTGAACAAAATAAAGTGTTCATAAATTTGTTTGTTTTCACAGAGTATTATTAATGCTGCTGTTGATATGAGCACAACACCTAATACAGTACTTAATCTTCATGTACCGCCAAGGCCTGAAAGAGTTTCGCCTCCTGGTCCCCAGCCATTTATACATAATAGACTTCCTCTTTCTCACCAGGTATTCAGCCACAAATAATCTTTTTTGTTTTATATTTGTCATAAGGAAATCATATCAAACTCACCTATAGATTTAATTGGAGTTTTATATAAAAAATCACAAATTCATTTTAAAATGTTGTTAACATGGGTGAAAATTTATGGTTTTATGATTCTTGTAACTGGTATTTAAATTTTCATTATGTGGTAAAACCTTATATTTGTTTTATTATTGTATTCTTCATAAAATTTTTGTAAGCTCTTTTGCTGGATTATGGATAAGTGGCACTTGTATGCATTATCATCACTAGAGGCTCTGGTGTAGGTAATGTGGTTTGGACCAGCCCATAAATAGATATCTCTAAAATCATATCATATACAGATATATATATATATATATATATATATATATATATATATATATATATATATATCATATATAGACATCTCTAAAAACATACTGGGCATGGTATTCCCATAGTCCAATTAGTGTAAATTTTTTCCTCTGTTTCAAAATTTTGGTAGTTGTTACTCTTTTCTCTTCAAGCGATTTCATTTACTTCTTGTAGATCAAGATGGTGAACTATTTTACAACTTGCATATTTAAACATAGTAAACAATTTTTTCTGTTGGTAAAATAAGAGAGTCGAAATTTCAAAAATAATATTGTATATAATTTTTTAATTAATCCCTTATTTTATCACATAGTTGTGTAATTGTTTAGGAATCTCTTTCTTGAACTATCTGTCAACTCCTCTACCTTTTCAATGACCTCCTGGATTCTGTCTTCTCATCTCTTCTTCTTGGTCTTGTACCCTTCCACGTTTGTTTTGTATATGACCTTTGCCAATTTGTTCTCTGCCATTTCAGCAACGTGGCTGAAATAATCTCAGCTGATGTTCCTTGATGATATATTCAGCTGGCCTAACTCCAGATTTGACATCAATTTTATATTTTGAACCTGGTCTCTTCTTGTCTTCTCCTCCAGTAGTAATGGATCTCTATGGTTGAAGTTGGGTTCTGTGTTTTGTAGTGAAAGTCCAAGATTTACTTGAATATATCATATATCATCAATATATCAGTAAGGTGTTTTTGGATATTTCTTTTTTCCCCATTAAACCTTTCTTAAGGGAATTAAAACATCTGTTAGCAGCTTTATTATTTTATTTATTTCACTATCTATCCAGCCACATTCATTCAGGTGAGAACTTAAGTATTTAAAACTATCTACTTGATCTTACCTTATATTGTTCAGTCTTACAACTCGACACTCTTGTTCGCTTTTTCTAGCTATTTTCATGACTTTTGGTTTTGCTGAATTTATAGCCATGTTGATAGTTCTTAATTCTTTTTGTAGGTTCCTGAATTTTCTGGTGAATACAATTAAGTCATCTGCAAATGTTTATATATATATATATATATATATATATATATATATATATATATATATATAGATAGATAGATAGATAGATAGATAGATAGATAGATAGATAGCTGTGGTACTATATGGTAAGGGGCTGGGGTAGTCATGCGGACTAAGGTGCTTGCAATAGATAACCAAGTTAAGTAAAGCCGAGCACGGTTAGCACTCGGATGGATGACCGTCCACCAGGGAAAGCCACGCTGCCTGAGACCCTCCCCCCAGTTTGTGAGACCCATCAAGCTACTGGAGGCAACTCACACCGACTGGGCGTAGGACTGATGACCCTACCCCCTTGTACTTAAATCAGAAATTGGTTTGTGGTTTAGAAGACCACATCTCGCGGTCTAAGATCTACAAGATCTGCAGCGCTAACCAACAAAAAAAAAAATATATATATATATATATATAGTGGGTTGGCCCAATGTTTCTGTGCCCTAGATTGTAGGGTCTTACCTTCCATTTAGCCCTTTACCTGTCTAATTAGATACCATGTTTTAAACTAAATATGTAACCTAAGCTGGAAGGAAAAATTTGATTCCTATTGGAGACATTTGATTCTAAAAATTCCTTTTAATAGATAATAAAAGAAATAATATCCTTTTTAGTTACCAATGTCTATTGTAAGATTTTATTTTTGAATTTTTTATTATATAATATTTATTATATTTATCATATCATATCATATTATATTATATCTATTTTTATGTATAAATCATTTTTTTAAATGAAATCTTGCTTTTTAATGTATATCCACTAAACTGTTTCAGTAAAATTTGGAAAATTAAGGAATGAAATAGAAAAAAATGTATGAAAATATAATAATAAAGGGATAAATAAAAGAAAATATTAATTGCACATAAAAGTACATTGTGGAAAAACTGTTTCAGAAAATTAATAAAATTTTGTCAGTTTCATGATATATGGTTCACTTGAGCGAGCAAATTTAACATGGTCTGGCTGAATGGTTAATAATAGCCAAAAGAATAATTTAATATTATGTATTTAATATTTGTGTACCTAACAATAATTTCTCTGATGGTGTTAGAGATTGTCCTTTTTAATTATTACAAATTAATTTACAGATGTATCCTCATATATCACGTTATGGACCAGTTCCATTACCAAGGGCTGAACTGAAACCTTATCATGAGTCTTATTTTAATGACATGAAACCATACATTCGTGATGAGCCAGTGGAAGGGTAAGTGGATAAAAAATCAAATAACAGCAATTTTACATGTATAATACAGCTATAATGTCTTATTATTTTTTTCTTGAATTTAGAATTATATTTCTTAGTTGAATAGAATTTTTTCTGTTTTATTTTTTTTTTATATTAAAGATTTTATAGCCTTCTTCTGATTATTTAACTAATAATATTCATTTTTGGGAATGCTATCATTCATGCTTGCTAGATTTGAACTAGAATAATTATTTTTAAATTAAAAGCCATATTGTAAATGTAACATATTCAGGATATAAGATAGTTGTTTTTATTTCATTATTTAAATTGGACTCCTAAATACAGTTGAAATTCTCAGTTTATTATTTTTGTTAGTGTATTAATTAATAAATACTTCCCAAACATCTATATTATGGCATCTATAAATATTGACAGTTATTTTAAATGAGAAAAATTTTATATTACAGTTTAGCTGCTACTCTACATGCAAGAATCTTAAATGGGGAAGAAGTAAAGCAAGAAGATGGTGATAATTTGCACCCTTATGAAGGAGGTTTACTTGACATTAAGCCTGACCCAATTCAAATGGCCTTTAAACGAAGTAGCCCTCATCAGGAATTTCTTCCACCAAAGCGACTTCTTGTAGAAGCAGAAATTCCTTCATTTCCAGTTTCATTGTCACCTCATCGTGTCGAAGAAGGTTAGTTGTGTGACATACAACAATATGTAAATATAATGTTATATTATTAATCTTTTTATTATATAATATGTTGTTGTTATTTTAATTTTAAAAACAGCCTATTACTGAAACATTTTAGTTGAAAGATGATTAATGGACATTGTGATAATAAATAGAAGTATATTAATTACTTACAATACTGAATTTAGGTTTAGTGGAATTTAAATAAATTAATAATTAAAAAAAGGCTTTGTGAACCCAAAAGTTCAATGCTGATACCACCAATAGCCTATATGCTTCCCTCTACCCACCCTCATCAAAACCTAATTCTACAAGGTCGGTCTTAATACAGACCTCCCACATACACCTCAGTCTATTCCTTGGATATTTACCTATCAATTCAAGTTTTACATGAATGCTAATTAAAGTTTAGGGATTCTGCTATCAGCACGATGTCATCGGCATACAATAAGCTTTGAACCATAATATTCCTCATGTTCCATTTACCAATGGCTGTCCAAGCAGTACGGCGCTTACAAATTTTATGGATTTCATCCATAAATATGATGAATAAAAGGGGACTGAGGCTGTCTCCCTGTCTCACACCTCTTTCTAAGGGAAAAAACTTGGACTCTCTTCCATTGATCCTCACAACTCCTTTTGCTTCCTGATAAACCCATGTAATAGCTGTGATAAGATATCCTTCAACATTTTTTGCTTTCAAAGCATCCCATATTTCTTTTCTGAGGACGGAGTCAAACGCTGCTTTGAGATCTAAGCTTTCTCAGTGTTGTGGCTGGGGATACTTCAAAATCGAAGTACAGATCTTTCCCGGGTGCGTTTCCTCAATGGTGGGGAAAATTCGAGTAAAATTTAAAAACGTTGGGAAAGAGGGAAAAAAAGAGTAAATGAGACCTGCAAAAACATTAAAGAAAAAAACAAAGGCATGCAAGAGAAAATAGTATTAAATAGAAATATTTCAATACATAAAAATGGAAAATCAAAATACCCTTTTAAATGCTTACAAATGTATTGAATAAAAAATATATGTAAAATTCAAACAAACAAATGAGAAGAAAAAAGAATTATTCAATTCCACTGAAATAAAAGAAAACATAAAACAACATGTTCAGTAAAAACAAAAACAATTAAACATTATGAAAAAAAAAATATAATAAAGTCCACTTCTAAAAACTATAAATAAAACATGAGAAAAAAATTATTTTCCAAAAGAATAAACTAATTTATAGGTGAAACAAAAATTAATTAATGTTCTAATGTCTTTGTGATGGTGAGAATATAAACAAAAAATAGAGCCAGGTTGGAGGTTCCATCTGGTTACCTTCTACGATGTCCAGCTGTCGAGCAATCGATGGTGGGGTGGTATCGATATGTATCGATTACTCAGCTGCGCCCAACAGCTGATCCTCGAAAATGGCGCTAGGTGAGATGTGGTGAGTCTGGGCTGATGGGGGTAGACTCCCACTACGTAGGTCTAGTGTCGACAAGCGCTATCTCCAGACTGCCTTCGGCCGTATTTTCATGTCTTAATCCCTAAGACAGGGTATTACTGCCGGGCTGGTGTCTATATACAACGCGATAACACATCGCAAATAATACCCAAATATACAAATATTACACAGCAAAATACATTTTAATGACAATATCCCTCGGCCTATTACAAAAAAAAAATAATAAACACTTATTCCATTAACATTTAAAAGGGTAAATATATTGGAAAAAAAATAAACGAAAGGAAAATAAAATACGTAAATTCGGGCGTTAACACTCAGTATGAAGATGTGGTCTTGAGTCTGCCTCTCTGGACGAAAGCCTGCTTGTTCCTCTTCTATTTGGTTCTTAACTACCCTTAGTCTCCTTCCTATAATTGAGGTGTATAGTTTGTAAGCCACCGAGAGTAAGCTTATTGGTCTGTAATTTTCACAGTCAGTTGAGCTACCTTTCTTGCTTATATCAACAATGATACTGAACTCCTAATCTCTTGGAATGATGTTCGTGTCCCATATATTTTGGAGGAGTTGCTGAAGAAATTTAATAAGCTCTTGACCTCCAAATTTCAATAATTCTGGAGCTATACCGTTCCTTCCTGCTGCTTTACCTATTTTAATTTTTTCGATGGCATACTCTACCTCATCTTCCTCAGTAGCATCGAAATTCTCCAGACTATAATTTTCTGCAGCATGTTCTCCTGGGTCATTAGGCCCTTCTGAGAAGTCTTCTCGATAAAACTCTTTCCACCGCTCAAGAATTTTTACCTCTTCTGTTATCATCTTGCTGTTTGAGTCTTTAACATTTCTAACTGGCTTACTTCTTTACCTCTCAATGTCTTTACTTTGTGCTAGAATTTGTTAATACTCTCTCAGTGGTCTTCATCGAGGCTTTTTCCAAACTTCTCTGATGCAGCTCTTTTTGCTTGACGAGTCACTCCTTTGCATCGATTTCTGGCCAAATGGTATTCGTTCCGTTTTTCTTCTGTTCTGTCTTGAAGGTAGTTTTTCCAAGCCTTTTTCTTTAATTGGACGATGTGGCGCACTTCTTCATTCCACCATTCAGTGTGCTTCTGTTTGCTTAATATTTTACGCATACCACAAACTTTTCTTGCCACTTCCAAGATACAGGTCTTGAAACAGCACCACTGATTTTCCACATCATCTTCCACACTCAATGCCCTTAATTTACTTTCCAGTTTTTTGGTGTAGGAGATTCTCTTAATGGGATCATCTAGGTAGCTTATTTAACGTTCGGTAGCTCTTTTCTTTAATGGGTCCTCTCTGCAGAATTATAGTATCGGCTATTAGTAGTAGATGATCGCTGCCAATTTCTCCACCTCTTATCACTTTAATGTCAACAAACTACTGTAATGCCATGATCACATACAACATAGTCGATAATACTGTTTCTTTCCAGGCTCGAGTAGGTTATTTTGTGTATCCTTTTGTAGGGAAAGAAAGAGTTGGCCACAAGCATGTCATTATCCACTCAGAAATCGATAAGGTATTGTCCATTTCCATTCCTTACCCTCTCCCCTCCATGGATTCCGAGGGTACCATTAGCAGCAGTTGGATCACATCCTGTTCTTGCATTAAAATCTCCCCTCAGTATTGCGAATCATCCTTTATCCTTTATTTTATTCAGTACTCATATAAAAAAATCATCTCTCAAAACTGTCCATTTATCACCAATGTTTCAGCATTTACAAAGTAATAATTTTTTTTTCTCATTGTTCCTTCACAATATGCCATGTAAAAAATAATCACTTAACTAGCTTTTTTTTTTTTTTTGTCTTCCCTACCTCACCATTTAGACTATACGGGATTTTCCCGGGCCGGAGGGTGAGGGCGGGGAATTTAAAATTCCCTCCGGCACCGGGACGCGAACTCGTACTTATTTTTGTCTCTCAAACTTCATATATCTGGTTGCCAGGCAACTCGCGGTGCTGTGCACACGCTCTAGCCCATTCGGCCACTCCGCCCCCTAATCACTTAACTAGCTAATTTACAAACAAAGGTAGAGTTTAAATTTCTTTAAGCTTATTAAGTTACAGAAGTAAAATGTAGTAAAGATTATCATTTCATAGTTTAATAAACTTGGAATTCTAAATAACAGATTTTATAAAATATAGAATGTATTTCCATTCTTTATAGGTAATTAATTAATGAAACATTTTTGTAGGAGGAGACAAGTGGCAGGACAAAATAAGCTGTGGGTTTGATAGGTTAGTTGCTTTTGCATCTACCGAATTAGAAAAAAGAAGAAGGAGTACAGAAGGTGGTATCAGCTGCAATACAAGTCCTGATTCAGGAATAGGTCAATGTGAAAACATAAATAAAGATACTAAGAGAGCTCTCAATGAGCCACCTCAACTGTATCGAACCAAACTATCACCATGTAGAGATTCACCACCAATATTAGAACCACCATTAGCACCACCAAGAACACCTTCTCCATCTCCCTCTACATCTCCCCCACCACCTTTGCTACCATTAGATGGACCTTATTCACCAGTTACAATCCACAGCCCTCCTGCACTGCCACCAAAATACCAAAGATCATCTTCATCCGAACACCATCACTTCAAAAAAAAATTCTATCATCATAAAGGAAAGTTTAGACCAAAAGGTAAAGAATGGGATTGGCACCATGTACCTGAAACACAACAACCTTGGTGTTAATGTAATTTTCTTTTAGGATATGTGTTTTAGTTGACAAAATTAATCAAAAAAATGTAAGTTATTCTTGATTCAGTTATTCCAAATATTCATGAAATTTCTTTGTTCCTCTAATTATTTTTATGATTGAAAAAAAAGGAAAAATATATATTTCACAATTTTATTGAAATTTCCTTATTATTTGATTTTGTAATTTATGTGTACATTACTATGATAATTATAATTACTATAAGAATTATTAATGATCATATGTTTGTTATTTAATCTGAGTTGTAAATTTTATTTAAAATATTTTTTTTTAACTTAATAGAAGGAATAATTAATGTTCTATTTAGTTTTAAGTATAAAGTACAAAAAATTGATAGTTATTCTATTATTATTAAAATGATTACCATTTGTAAAACATGCATTTAATTCGTAATTTTGTACTTTATAAACATGTGTTCACAGATCATTTCATCATATGAAATAATTATTGTTAAATGTTCCTCATGCCTAAGACATATAATTTAGACCTATTTAGCAACGAATACTTCAGATGACTATTTATTAATTTATCCAGTAAAATTCAATTGGTGAGAGATGTCCAATTTTAATTTTTTTTTCTCTAAAATGTTGTTTTGATTTCTATATTGTGATATATTTTTATACTATATTTTTAATTGCCTAAAGTCACAAGAACATTTTTGACATTATCTGTTTTGTTTTAAAGGAGTATTTTATATGATAGACAAATAATATAAAATAAAAAAAGTAAAAGTAATTATTTTTTTTATATTTAAAGAATCATGATGACCAGTGTTATTTTTTTAATTGTCTTATTTGTGATAAAAAAAAATTCGAATTATGAATCTGATGAATAGTAGTTGTTTGGTTTAAAATGTGCTTAGCATTTGGAACTTGCCTCTCATACAATTTATTAGTTTAGATTTTATGATTAATTATGTATGGTTGAATAGAAATTCTCATTGTGGTGTTGATACTTTCAGGAGATTAGATTTCTTAAAATCTTAAATCCTGCTTTTTATTTGTATTGCATGATATTGTATCAATTCATGAAAATATGCTGAACCAAAATGGGTTTATATAACATATAATAATGGTTGGCACTTGATTGGAACATAGTAATGTTGATAAAAAGTTTATTTTCAAGAATAACTCAAATATTCTTTATTTTTGTTTCCTTAGAGAAGAAAAACATTTAAAGATTTATAAATAAATAAAGGGATATAATTTGTGATGGTTAAGAATCGTTCTCATGGTTTTTTTCCTAATACATATAAATTTCAATTGATCTGTAAGTAATTTTTCAACACCTAACTAATGATACCATTAACATTATAAAATGTTAGTGTATAGATTATATTGTTTTCAAGAAGACATAGGCTCTTGTTAAAGACATTTATTACAATGCAACCAATATTTAAGATAAAAATGAATGTTAATGCCATATCAAAAGTGGCTAGGAAATTTTAATAATTCGTTAGATTTGTTGATGTTATAAAAGTTGAAAACATTAGCTGTTGTTATATTATTAAATATAAAGTAATTGTCTATGTGTTTTAGAATCTGCTTAATGGATATCTGTTATCTAGATGTATAATTGTTAGGGAAAACAAAAAAAAAATTTCATAATGAATTTTAATTTAATTTTTTTTTAACAAGTTAATACAGTTGCATTATTAAGTATTTTATATTGACAACATTTGGTTTATATGTATGAGGAATGCATTTGTATTTAATTATCCATATAAGTTAAATGTAGTATTTAATCAATTATTTATAAACACATATCAGTACACATTTTATTAAAATTATTAAATATGAAATTGATGATAGGGGAACTGTATTTTATTTTGCCAGTTTTGTGAGATAAAGTTTCAAATATTCCAGTTTAATTCTTCAAATATTGGTAATGACATCTATAACACAATGTCTACTCACAAAAATATATAGATACAATGAAATATTTTAAAGTTCAAAATACAAAATTTTATTTTGTATAAAGCCATTATTCAAAAGACTAGATATATATATTTTTAAGCACATACAACCTCACTTTCATCCACTAACACAGACATACGTACATACAGTATATACAGATGACATGTATCGTAAAGAGAATATGTTTTTTTGTTATATGTAAATATCTTAATTGTTTATGTATTGTAAAAATTGAATCTTGTATTTACTGGAATTATTCAAGATTCAGAAATCTATGTAACAAGTGATTTATTTATTAATGTACCGATAACATGTACATTTATGTTTAAATAAAGATGATCTTTATCCTATAGTTACCATAAATATTTAATGGAATCTTTGTATAAATTCTAATATGAATTTACTTAATTGTATATTTATTTGTGAAGCTACATATTGTTTCTTGGTATTTTTTTTTCAAAGTGAAATGTGCTGCTATAACTCACCATCACTGCCAATGTGTTCTTTGTTTTATATTCAGTTTAAATAAAACTATAAAAGTGATTAAATTTGTTCTTTTTTTTTCGTAGTAATTTTGTTACTTGTAATTTCACTAGAATTTTATTTTACCATAGTTTAATGGAGATAACCAAAATCATTTTTATATTTATGTACCTAATTAACTTTTATTGCTATTATTATCTTGGTAAAAAAAACCCAAAGCACTGGATGGATTATGGGTTTGTATAAATGTAATTTAGCTTGGTGAAAGAGAATGTGAATGAATCTCTGTGAAAGAGAACCAAGTTTTCTCAGGCTGTAGTAGCACTGATTAGCAGAAATTATGTACCTTCTAATTTCACTTTTGCGCTGTTGTCCTGTGTTACCATAGAGCCAAGATAAATAAATTTCGTGACTTGCACAAATCGCTAGTCACCAAATTTCACCATCTCATTGGGGCCAGGCGTCTCTTCGGTCACCATGTATTTAGTTTTCTCCTATTTCACCTTGCAGCCAAATTTTGCAGGACTTACCTTACATTACATTTGACGGTAGTCCAAGTTTCTGAGCCATATATTAGCACTGGATAGATTATGGTTATGTACAGATGTAATTTAGTTTGGCGGGAGAGAATGTGGCCACCAAGCTGTTTTCTCACGCTGAAGTAACATGAATTATGTACCTTTAATTTATGTTTCTGCGCTATTGTCCTGTGTTACTATAGATTCTAAATAAATAAATTCGTTGACTTACACAATTTTAGGCGTACTCAAATAGTAGCTCACAAGTATCACCATTTCATTGGAACCAGGCATCTCTTCGAACACCATGTATTTGGTTTTCTACTGGTCACCTCGAGCACAAGTTTCCTTGCAGGACCTACCAGTGCTTGAAAAGCTTCCCTGACAGCCTGTTGAGAGTGCTAAATGATGTTGAAAAAGTCCGCATAAGACAATATTTGCGTACTCCGACTGAATATTGTCTGCCCCACCTGTATACCAGATTCTCTCAGCCTTCTTCAGGGCAATATAAAATAAGAGGCATACGAAGGTGTCACTCTGCGGTAGGCCCATCATCGCTTGGGATTCCTTGGCTAAATCTCCACCAATGAGCACTGAACACAATACCTCATTCATGGTCAGCCTCATTATACATATGAGCTTCTGAGGGATTGGACATTTCTCCATCGCTAGGTGGAGTTCATCATGATGAATACTGTTGTATGAAGAGATGGTGTGTCTTTTGCTTAAATTCAAGTCCTCTCTCCAATATGGTTTTCAGGCTAAATATTTGGTTGAGAATCGATTTTCCACACTGTAATCCACATTGGTAGGGACCAATTGGTCTATCAGCATTGTAGGGAAGTTAAAATGTGAATAGGACCTTTGAGAGGACTTTTTATCCGGAAGTCAGTAAGGATATGCCTCAGTAATTAGTACATGCTAGGTGATTAATCTTCTTGTGAATCCGACAGATCATTGATTTTCTTCATGCTGAGGTTATTACTTCAGCCTCCCACACTGACATGAAAAGGTTTTAAAATGCCTAGCACCAGTTTGTTGCCACCATGTAAGATTTTGGCAGGGAGTCCATCTTACCCTAGAACCTTCTGGTTTTTCAGCCTACCGGTCTCCTCAATCTTCTTCTCATTGGGTGGTTCCTCAGGGTTGACATTTGGGTTGGTCAGGAGGTTTTCAAATTGTCTCCTGCATTTTTCTAGGACTTCGGACTTATCAGTAAGAAGATTGCCTTCTTTATGCAAAGTTTTCCAGACAGATTCTTCCAAGCTACATGCCTTGTCCATCTTAACCTCCTTGGCTTCATATCATTAGATATTAATTGACCATTTTCTATAAGCAGCTCTTTATCCTCCATTTGTTAGTACCCTGATACCAGATCACTCCAGTTATCATCACAGGTGGATCTACGGAGGCAGGAGCTTTCGCACTGAAGCCCCTACCCCAAATGGTAAAATATAACCATGTTTTACGAAAAAAATATTTAGAAAAAGTATTATTGTTCGTCTGGAGTTGACTTTGACCTTAAAAAACATGAACATTAAGTCCGTTCTTTATGTAGTTTTTTTTTCATTAAATTTAAAATTCTGTCAAATGAAAATCAGTGAGAAGTACAAAGATTAACCCCTTTTCCATTTTTCAGTTAAAATATAAGTGGATAGTAAGTAATTTCTGTGAAAATTTAATTTTCGAGCTACCTGGACCTGATCCTAGGATTAAGCACCTACCACCTAACCTCTAGGAAAAAATAGTGGCAAGTAAATAAAGTTTAACAATTTTATTCAATTGCTGTTGTTGTTTTTTAAATATAAACATGAAAACTAACTCTGAGGCTACAACAGATGACCTGGCATCTATAGTTCTAGAGAGGCTAAGTGGTATCGCCAGCGATATAAAATCTTAAAAAGGTAAATTTAAAAGCCTATAAACCGATAATCAAAATTTGAAAGACACCATCACCCAATTACTAACTGAATTTAATAATTCATGGCCTAAAGCTAAAAGGACCTCCAGAGTTGTAAAAGTAATAAATTTAAATTACAGCAAGAAAACCAAATACTTAAACAACAACTCTCAGAAATGAGAGTGGAAACGCAAGATAGCTCACAATTCCGGTTTAGAAACTTCGTTAAAATCGATAATGTTCCCTATACCAAAGACGAAAACCTATTCACTGTCGTTAAAGAAATTTTAGATATTTTAGATCTTAACCTAATCGTAGAGGCAATAGATAATATATATCGATTAAAACCAAAAAACCGGGTTAATAGTTCCAAACCACTACTCCTTCAGCCGTCATGATTGTTTCCAGATTATCCACAATGTTTCAGATAAGGTTTACAAAATATAGTACCAGGAAGTGCCACTTTTGCGGAGGGGTTGTCTTGTCCTCTCCACATCATCTCCATTTTAAGTTAATATAGAAATTTTATTGTTCAGGTTACATATTACCGGCCTTTTTTTTAAAGTTAGCATTATTTTCCCACAATTTTCACTTCATAAACAAAAAGGTTCGTAATATATATTGTATAGGTAGTATTTGGTAATTATTTGTAATGAACTGGTTGTATTTATGGTTCTAATTTGTAAGGTGGAGGGGTCGAGGGCTGACAAGACTACCCCTCCGCAATAGTGGCGCTTCCTGGTGCTATCTTTTGTAAACCTTATCTGAAACATTTTGGATAACCTGGAATCAACCAAGATGGCTGAAGTAGTAGTGCTCTTGAACTATTACCAAAACCCGAACCACCCACCTTCAATCATAGTAAAATTTATTTATAATTCCGTAAGAACAAATTTTTTTGGTACTAGTTCCGAATCACTACGCTTTGAGCCATCCACTTGGTTATCCACAATGTTTCAGATAAGGTTTACAACAGCTAGCACCAGGCTGTGCCACTGTTGCGGAGGGTTATTATTGTCAGACCTTGACTCCTCCATTACAAATAATTACCAAATACAACCTTTAGAATATATATTACAGGCCTTTTTTTTAACTTGTTGACTTTTTTGTCTCTTCAGTATATCGATTAAGCAAACTTTTTATTTTCGATGTTATTTATAGACAGATATTACCTCAATCAATTTTTTTTTCTATTATGTATTTCTAATATTATTTATAATAATTGTGTTCATACATTTTAGTTAAGGAGTTATCTTTTTCAAACAATACCTAAATTCTGCGGCAATTTAAACCTGCAAGATTTATAACAGATGGTTTAAATATATTTTTATGCATACATCTAAATTATTCACATTTGGTTATTTTAATTATTGAATTGTCTTAATTCCAAACTAACTTAAATAATCTGACTAGTTATGCCCAGCCATTTCCATTGCTATCAACTTATATTATCTTTAATTGTGGGTAAATGGTTGACTGTCGTGAATAATGAAGAGAAGAATAGTTAGGGTAATCAGTCAAATAAAAGGCAAAAATAAATGATAATATTTGTTTTCACATTTGCCGACGTTTCGACCTGAAGTTCAGGCCTTCATCAGGGCTAAGAAAAAACCAGATAACAAGGTATGAGAAACATGAGTAGTGTAGGTAAAAAAAATTAAAGTAAAATGAAGTTGGTAGAATAATGACAATAGTAAGAAAATTGTATGAAAATGTACAGACAACGTATAATATAATAACGAGTTAAAACAGAGAAAAGGATTGAAAGGAAAGAAGAAAAAAACTGAGAAGGCTAAAATAAGAAAGAGAAAAAACAAAAAACAAACCTGCCTCCAAAAAGGTTGTTGGAGAAGTGAGAATATGGTAGCAAGGGAGGGGGGGGGAGGGAGAGAGGAGATGTATTGTGGCGTCATCTTTAACGGTTGTCTGACGAAGTTTGAACTAAATTACGGGAAGCGTAAATAATGGACGAGAGATATATTACTCATAAATACTATGAATGATTAAACGGAAGTTTAATAGATCATCGTCATAATCCATCCTCTTGAACCGCATTAAGCAGTGTGAGCAGGAAGTTTATGTATAGAACCTTCTCCAGCTCTGCCGATCTTCCACAAGACGCCTTCTATCATAAGGTCAGCTACAGTACACACCCTAGGGCTACCTTCCCTAGGAGATTTTTCCTATCAGGAAATCGGTTACCCTAAGGCTACCCTAGGTAGGTTCTGTTACCCTAAGGGGCAGCCCCCCGACCGCACTAGGATTGGACAGGCCGATACCCTACCCTTCCAAAATCTTGAATACCACAATTAATGGAAGAGTTTAGATAAAGCTTTTAAATTGAAATTAATATATATATATATAAGTTAAGTGTCTCGGACTTGTGGCAATTAAAAAAACGGAAAAGGTTCACGAAATGAAACGCATGAAGTCGTTGCTTTATTGTTCCTTTTAATCCTCTCTCTCTCTCTCTCTCTCTCTCTCTCTCTCTCTATATATATATATATATATATATATATATATATATATATATATATATATATATATATATATAGTTTGGTTTTGTTTAGATCGGTGCGTTTGGTATTAACGCTAATACTGTGCCGCTCCGTACCTTAACTACCTCCCCATCAATTTACGGACACTCTTCGTAAACTTACTAC